CACCTCTCGATCCTGTCACGGCTCTCTGCCATGACAGGGGAGGGGCGTCTCAGTATACCGCGAGCTGTAGCTCGCAGTATTCTGAGCCTAGGGTGACGGGAGGACGCTAGTTTGTGTCCTCCCGTTACCCTAAGGAGAACTATGGGGAAAAGCCCTGACCCCATAGTTCTCCTTTAAATGTGATAACACTATGTCCCATGTCTCCCAATGGCAACGCATGTTCTCATCCTCACGTCAGCAGATTGCGCAAAGACTATGGTGCAATATGCCAATGCAACAGAGGCCTGACTAAGAGTGTTGTGATCACTGATAGATAAGCTTTTAGCTGCCTAGCCCTTCCCAGTTGCTGCCATAGGTAGTCATGTGACATATAGTTTGGTCAGTGGCCTCACATTCCATAGTGATGATGTTCAGGCGTTAAATAGACCCATCGACCCATCCACCCACCCACCACCAGGTCTGTTTGGCAGAGGAAAGAAAGCTGGAGATACTGAAAAGCTGTTATTTAGGCCGATTTTAAAAGGCAAGAAAAATGCTTCTTTTACATAATGGCTTTGTAAACTGGATACATTACATTTAAGACTTAACTTTAGCTATTAACTTTAGATGTGCTTTAAATGTTCACATCTACAAAAGAGAAAAAGGGGGGAAATCCAGCTATTCAATTACTAAAAAAAACCCAGGAGATTTCCAGAGAGAATGCATTCCAGATTACGCATTCTGTGACACTACTACAAGCAATTCCTACAAAAATCCATTCTAGGACTCTTTTGTTCTATACATTTGTTCTATACATTTACATATCCCTGACCATTTCCTTCTCTTCCTTTCAATCTCTCTGTTCGGAACACATTATGATATATAAGAATACTGGCAGAGGGAAACACAATTTAATTTGACTGAGGTAAGCAGTGACTGAGGCCCAGAAGCAAAAGCATTATGCACAGACGAGGGGCTGCAATGTTACTGTCAGTGCTGTCATTATGTTACATAAGAGAAAACCAACCTGGAGGACATTGAAGAAGATTACTGTACTGGATCCTGGCTGCCTTAGACAAGTGATTTATAAATTCTCCTGCATCCTTCAAAATGCAGAGTAGACCTAAGCTACGGATTACACCAGATACATAGTAAAAATAAACGAACCTGTCACCAGCATCCCTTTTGGGGCCTGATGCAATACACAATCTCCTGCAGCTAGTTAAACATTGTGTTATTCCACGCCAAATTTACTGGTTCCATTCCCTGAAATAAAGGTTCAGCCAATAAAATAACTGCTTCTTTTTGGGCCAGGCATCAGACACAAAGCAAATGAATCAGGGCAAAGAAACAGGTTTACGTTACCTTTGCCCCCCTACTCCCAGCAGGAAATACTTACCCATCACACCCATCACCGCTGCATTCAATCACCAAGAACAAAGGAAAATTCTGTGTAAATTGGAGATGTAGCTCACAGAAGGGTATGGGCTCCCCGGTGAGGGTGCTGACAGCACAAACAACCCCAAAAATGTTCCTTACTGGAAATCAGACACCCCAAGATACTAAGAAGCATAGTGAGTATTTTTACATTTTTTGCCACAAGCATTTCAAAAATATGAAAATGGAAATAAAATATGATTTTGTTTTCTCCAATTTAATAAGATGTTCCTCACATACAGCCTGTTTATACTTAGAACTATACCTTAAATCAAATTTTGCTACTCATCCCAAGTACTGTATGGGGATACCACATATGTGAAACTTTTTCACAACCTATTTTCATAGAGGGGCCTAAAACTCAAAAAGAGCCTTCAGGCTTTAAGGTGCAAAAATTACACATTTGATTTCATGACCACCTATCACATATTTGGAGGCCCTGGAGTTCCAGGACAGTAGAAACACCAATAACATGGCTGGCACTGGTAGTAATGAGGCACTGATCCTTGCTGGCACTTGCACTGGCTGTGCATACACTGGTTCTGGCTTGCACTGGATGACACTGGCACTAGCTGGTACTACTTCTGGGTGGCACTGGATTACATTGGCACTGGCTGGTACAAGATGACAATTGCACTTGAACTGGAAGGCACTGCTCCTGGCTGTATAGATACTGGATGATACTGGTTCGGGGTGGCACTGGATAACACTTGTTGCCACTGGTTCTGGATGGCATGCACACTGGCTGGTAAATAGGGAGCTCTGCCTTTCCTCTCATACCGATTGGAAAGGGAGAGACACTACTAACAATAGCGGAAGTTTACATTTTGTAAAGCTGTGATTGGTCAAAGCAATCACATGGTTCTCTGGCTCTGTATATTTGTTTGTGATCTGCACTGTCCAATGGAAAGTGTAATCACAGTGAAGTGTTTGTGCACGCTGGGGGGTGCACCTATGTTTTAATATTAATATTTTTTAAAATATTGTTCTGCCCTGGAAGGTGCACCGTCCGCCCATTCTATTACAACGGGTGGATTACAAGTAGTTAAAGTGCACTTGTTACACTCCATACATACTGTATTGGTCCCTACAGTTTGATGATTGAAGAACTGAACCGTGTGTGTATCACTTTTAAGCAACCTCTTTTTCAGCGGAATCCAAAATAAATAATTACAGTAATTTTGCAATTAGCAATTTTGGGCCACATCAAATAAGCCAGTACACATATGTGACAGAAATGTTTGATCTTTGCAAACAAAAAAAGTAACTGCAAAACTGTAAAAAAAAACCTGAACCTGTGAGCCATTTAAACTTTTAAAAGACAAAGTCTGGAGTTTAGGTGATACCCTTTATTGGTGCTTAAAGATGCAAACCTGTTACAATTGACTTGCATGAAGAAGAGATTCAAGAGGTTCTGAAAGCATTAATCTTTAATAACTTAAGTTAGCCAATAAGCACTTGCAGTGTTTTTCCTTTATATATATATATAATTTTTTTATTGACTTGCAATGTGCCTTTGAACTTGCTTGAACATTTAACTACTCTAGGAGGAGTCAATTCCCCAGCACAGCCTCTCCCCTCCTTGTACGTTTTAGCACTCTCTTCTTCTGGGAGTGTCTAATTACTAGGGATACACCAATACTTTTCAGATAACAGTGCCGACACTTGGCATTTTCATGAGAACTACCAGGGTTGCAGCGGTTGCAGCTGGGACCTGGCTCTGGTGCTCCACCACTGTCCTGAAATCATTAGTCTGTATTGTTTTAGAAGAACTGTCACATGACAAAAAACAAAAATGTATCAGTACTTGGGCCAGTATCGGTACTTGTATTTGCAAAAATGGTATCGGTGCATCCCTTTATATTTATAAAAACAAAATCATACATTAAAACAGAGATGTACAAATCCCAGGAGCTCCGTGTGCTCCTTACAAATGACAGCTGCCTCCTAACTTTTTAATTTTTCTCTAGTCTAGTCTTGGAGCTTGAAAAGTATCTGTACTTGTACCGAGTAGGGTACTTCTTATCGGTGCATCGCTACTAATTACCCTCCATCTCCCTACATAAACTTTTTGTAACTGCTAGGTTAAGAGTGAAGGGAAATAATATAGTGTTACGAGCGACAGCTCCGAGTCTTCTGGAGCCAATGACATCACACCCAAGGCTGCGCCCAGCAGCCTACTCAGGGCTTTTTGGTTGTCTACACAAGGGAGACTTTTGCAAGTAAATAACCTGCATGAAATTAGTTAAATATCAATTTAGTCTTATAGTGTGACTGATATCAAAATTTTGGTCTGGCAGATTCAAAGTCTCTTCAAAATTTCTAAGCAATTTGATGACTCACACAGTAGAAAGATTCTACTAAAAACGTAAAGGCAATGTACAGGTTTACCAATGATTTAATATAGAAATGACTTCAAAATGTGCTTTAGCCTTTTATCAATGAAATTCTGCATATTAAAGTTTTGCGTTCTCTTTTTTGAACTGACAGGTGTTTTATGCCCCTTTTCACATTTCGCATTTCTAAATACTTACAGCCTGTGGAAAAGTCTATTGTTTACACACAGACATGGATTACTCAAACACAGTGACTCATTTTCTAGGATATGGTAATTTTTTTTGAGATAACAATTACAGAAAATTAGCAGCAAAAAAGGCCAAAAATAAGCAATTTTTAATACATCAGGCTATATGTAACCATATTGCATTGGCTAAGGACGGGAATTAATAGGATATTGAAACCAGTGAACCACAAAGCGAACCACATGTGGTTTGGGATAGATGATTGTCGTTGCAAGGAGGATAGATGCAACCCAGCAACAATCATCTATCCCAAACCGCATGTACTTCTGCCATGTATGATAACATGTAGACTGCCGCTGACAGATGTGGCCCGTCACCCTGTCATTTACTTCAATGGGTAAAGCGGCCGCATCTGCACAGGAACACTTGGGATTCCTGCTGCAGGAATCTATAGGTTCTTGCCAAAGAAATGGCAGATCCCCCCATGTGAACAGAGTAGCACAAAAGATAATTCAGCTTCATATCTTTAAGTCAGTGGAGGCACTTCAGGGCTATTTGACTGTCCTCCAGGAGGTCCCCCTGCAGGTTTGCAACAATTTTGAAAGAATTCTCCTTACAAAGTCATTTAGGAATGAAACAAAACTAGAGTAATGAATCCATCACCATATGCACTAGAAAGCAGGGATGTGACAGTCTAAAAGATGCTGATGATGCAACCAAATGAATAAAAGCCCCATTATGACTTCCTCCTACATATGGCGTGCCTTGAAAATGTCTGAATTTTGGGTACTTTCTTCCCTAATAAAACTTCCTAAAACTGAAAGGAGCCATTTGCGGTGGAGATTACACATTAACTTATGAGATAAAATATCATTATAATTTATGAGCAGCCAAGGCTTTAAAATAAATGTACAAAAATACCATGAAGTATAATATCAAATCCTGTTAAAAATAACTCATACATCTTAGCGAAAAGATGTGTATGTCATCTTGTCGATAAGTGAAAAAAAATTTGCTATAAGTAAAAAAATTGCTATAAGTAAAAAAAAAAACTCACAGTACCTCCTTATGGCCACAGTAAGAGCCTCTGGTGAACTGGCACAAGGACAAATGACTTCTTGCCGCAGGCCTTTACTTTGGAAGACATTGAGGAAAGCATCACAAGAAGAAATGGACCCTGGGGAAGAAACACAAGAGGAGGATGTGATGATGCATGGGCAGGAAACACTACGTTTGGACATGATGATTTAGAACTCTTTAAAGAGCATTGAGGACATTCTGAATAGTTCATCTCTACACTTGTCCTGTGGCATTATAACACTAAGAAAAATGCACTGTAAACCAGTAGCTTATTAGTCTCTGTCTATCTCATACAAGCCGCCAACACCTCTCTCTTCAGCCTGCAGTGAGAAGGGCACAACGCAAAGCATAGAAATAAAACACGACACTGTGGATGTAGAGAATTTAAATATAGTATCCTGCCAAAAACCCAAGCTCATCTCGAGGAAAAATGCCAGTACTGTAACACAGCAAAAGCTATTATACAAAGCAAATTCATTTGAGGCTGTAAGATTAAACTGGTCGAATAGCAAATATTTCTGCTGCACCCAAGCTTCAGTCTTTTTTCCCAGAACATGAAAATAATAGCTTAAAGTGACACCAAAATCAGTAGTTAAACCTTAAAAATGCATTCAAGTACGTTAACTATTAACAAAAATGTATCTTATTTGTGTATCACTCGGCTGTAGATCCTCAAATCATCTCTGGATTGGTGCCGACACTGCCCTTCTGGAGGGTGTCTACGTTTGTTCCCCTGGTCCCATGGCCACCGCTCCAAACTCACTCCCGTGATGGACTACAATCTCAGGTTTAGTTTAATAATTTGTTTTAAGATTGTAGTCCAGAGTATAAATGCACATTAGGCAGGCCCACTGAATTAAATAGTAGGCACACTAAAACACATCATGAATCTGCATTGTACATAGGGCACTACAAAAATCTCTATTCTTTCTATAATCACAATTATACTATAAGATGCATGTAGCAAAGGGCTTCATGAAATGCATCTGTGTAAGTGTGAAAAACCCTTAAAAAATGTACCCACATGTAAAGATACTTTTAAACATATATATAAACTAATGTTTCTCCATTCTGTGGGTAGGTTTTCAAGATAATATGCATTATCTTCATCCAATGGGGAAGAAGCTTTCTGCACCAGCACATACAAAGAGGCAGGAGGGATTAGCACATTAAACTGACACTAAAGTCAGGAGTTAGATCTTAAAAGTACATTCAAGTACCTTAACTATGAACACAAATGTCACTTATTTGTGCAACACTCAGCTGTGGATCCTCAAATCATCTCTGAATTGGTGCCGACACTGTCCTTCTTTCTGGAGGATGGTGTCTTTTGTTCCCCATGGACCCGGTGTGTTGTAAAGATTGTGGTCCATCGAGTGAGCGTGCTTGTAGTGGTGGCTACTTTACATCACACACAGGGATCGTGGGGAACAAAAGTAGTCACCCTCTAGAAGGAAGGACAATTCAGAGATGATTTGAGGATCTACAGCTGAGCGATACACAAATAAGATAGATTTTTGTTTTGAAAGCAGGGTACTTGAATGCTTTTTTAAGATTGAATTCCTGAGTTTAGTGTCACTTCAATGAAACATCACCAGATAGGAATGCTCAGAAGTGTACCAACTCTAAACATAGCAGAGGTTACTGCAGTGCAGTTAGTACACTACTATGCAGTGACGGAGAAATAAATTATGTTTTAAAACACATTGCTTCATTCATGTGTCCATGCTGAGGTGATCCTGATGTATGGAAGGTCTTGGCTCTGAACACCCAGCACTATACAGGAGGCTGATTGCGAAAATATTTAACTTCAGGGTCACATGTGGCACCTCTTTCTCTCAATAAACAGGTGGGGTGCAGAATGCTAATGCTAGTTATATAGTGTAACATTTCCCTCAGTTGGAGAAGCATACAAATCATTCATTTGCAATTGTGATCATTCAGTATGTAAATGTGCATCCTATTATACACCAATAGGGAATGTTTACTTGCATGATTTTCTCTCCAGAGAGATTTAACATGCAAAGCGTACAAAATTATAGTCTTCAGCCTGGGAGTAAACCCTATTCAGTAATGAGGCTGCACAATTTTACAAAGTTCCAAGCACTTTGATAAACAAATAAGACACATGAATGAAATATATCTTTCCAAAAAAGAACATTTAAAGGAAAACAGAGAAATATGTGGACTGCCATTGATAACCTATGAAAAAAGTCAGTTACCATGCTGTCAGACTCCGCTAAGGCTCCATTCACAAATGGTGCTTGGGTGTTCCAAGCGGAAAACCGTGCGGCACAAAAACACGCAGTTTTTTGCATATGCGCAGATGCTGCGCGTTTGCGGCTATTACTATAAACCCGCCCCTATAATTGCGCTTGGACTATTTTGCGGGACGTGCGCTTGCTGCAATATAGCCTGAACAATGAATATTGGAATGCATTGTCTTTTTGTTTAGTACGTTTCCAAACCGCTCATTTGTGAATAGAGCCTTACAGCTGACTTGAATCAAGAATGAAGACAAGGAGTTCTAATACCACAATAACTTGCATGGCACAGATCAGTGACACTGGACTAAAGTCAGAGAATCACCATGACATCCATACAACTAACATTTCCAGCAGATCATTATCAATGGTAACCAGAATATTTCTCTCCCTACAGGTTTCCTTTAAAGGGAACCTTTAGAATTTGCAAAAGGAACATTAAAAAAAAAAGACAACAAATCAGAACTAATCTTTTACTGGTCTGATTACAGGAAACAGAAAATAGCTTTTTACTTAACAAGCTGATTACAATTTCACAGTATTGCACCATATATAGGCATATTTCCTTTAGATCCATGGTTCTCAACTGGTAGGTCACGACCTAAAAGTGGTTTGCAACTCCATGTTCAGTGGGTCGCCGCATGACTTCCACTGCGCTAGGTGAGAGGCTCCTCAGCTTCCTTGTAGCGCAGCATTGTCAGTTCTCGTGCTGAGCAGCCATTCAAAATATGCTTCCCGGCGCTGAGTGTCAGCTTAAGGTGGGGTGGGCTGGGGCTATGACCATGAGGGAACTCCATCCATACATGCATTGCTTACAGCTCCCTCATGTGCCCTGTAGAGGTGCCTGGACCGGAGTGACATCACATTCTGGCTCCCGCCATCTCTAGAGGGTGCGCAAGGGAGCTATACAAGCAATGCACAAATGAATTGAGTTCCATCACAGCACAGAAGCCCACACTGGACCCCAGGCTGAGGATCCACTCCAGTTCTCATAAGGTAGGGAGACTGCGTGAATCTCAAAAAAAACCTGAAAAAAACAAATGTGGGTTCTTGGGTTACATGGGTTGAGAACCCCTGCTTTAAATTATAACAGCAGCCTCAGAAATGTACTTACAGGGATTCGCTCCATCAGCCACAATTAACATACGTAAAGAAGACAGGTTGATGTCTCTCTGATCCCGATGTGCAACCAATGCCCAGTGCATATCCCTTGACTTGACACACGCAACTTTTGCTATTTAAACAAAAAAAAAAACAATAAAAAAAAAAGTTTATTCTACAAATACTATGTCAAATAAGCAAAGTAATATGAGTGGACTGGTAAATGGATAAAATACATATATTTGCAGGAAAGAAAACAACATTTTTTTTCACTACCAGGTAACCTGAATTGAGCCTTTAGGTTAATGTGTTAAAACTAACACTGACAAAGTTTTACCACCTTGTTATGCCTTTATGATCCTCTAATTGTTTTCTGGATACCTGTGGAGATTCTGAAATACACAAGAGGGCTTTGACTTTTGCTTGACTTGGAGTTCAGCTTTGCAGTATGCTGTTTTAACAGATTAATGTATATGACTTTACTGGCCACTGCAAGGAAACTTTAGTATTGGGCTGTTAAATGGCTCAGCATCAGGTAGGGATAGGCTCTTCTCAAGATCAAACCGAAGCTGCGGTCATTTCTGAACTTGAGAAGCAGGGGCTCCCCAACTGCAGAGATATGGATAAGATGATTATCCAAGTATCTTGGTGTCCACACTTTGTCACTAGCAAGTTTTTTTGCAGCTGGCTGCAATACTGCCAAAGACAGATAGTGTTAGTCTAGTTCTGCATTATGACAGACCTGGCGCAAAGACATTGGCCCCACTTTTATGCCCTTCAACAGCCTCCATGCAAGATCATGTGTAAAGACTCATGGTGAGTCTATTGCGAAAAAAGGAGGAGAGAGTGGAAGTATCCAGAGGCAGGGTCTGACAACACAGGGGCCGACAACATAGGGTCCATCCAATCTCACTGCCCAAAGCTGAAGATTACACATCTCTAGCAAATCCACCATTAGCCTATAGAAGGGATCATTGGAAAGGGGATCATTGGAAAGGGGGTTGCTAGAAGTCTCACAGTGCATCAAACTAAAGAGTGGTCTTCTGTAGCACAATTTGTCCAAATTTTGAACCAAGACATTTGACAACTACACAATTCAATATTACCAAGCCCCACATATTTATGATTCAACTGGCCAAAATTATGCATTAAAATATGTATTGAAACTAGCATTTTACAGTCTTTATTTTTAAGATACCAGCCATCTGAGATATGCTCTCTATACCCCTAGGTTCCATTGCAAGCAAGGGTGATAATGGTCCCCTGACGTCAGTGATGTTTTATTAAAAGTGCAATATTGGCATGTAATCTAGGCCCACTAACAGCAATGGAGAATAGATAGCTGAAGATCTAGCGCAGATTACTGCACATCTTTGTCAAGCAGTAAACGTCTGCAGGAATAATCACTCAAAGTATCATTTCTACAAATGTAAACTAATTGTTCTATTGCATACTCTGTTTTAATTGCCTTTTGCATCCTAAAATAGCCATTGACAACCGTAGTCAAGGTTGGCAAAAAGACTGGGTGGTATATTTAAATTAGGCACCAAATTCAATCTATCCACATCAGTGCCCCACAACCTGGTTCGTAGCCCAGTAACACTCATACAGGCACCACTACTGGAGGCAGCACCGCTACAGTCAGGAGGATTAAAAACACCTACAGAAAACAAAAGCCAGACAGGGCGCCTTCTCTAGTGTAAAAACTTTATTGTAGAACATAAATAAAATACCATCAATTGTACTCGCAAAGGAGGATGCTCATAGAGCCTTGTTAGCTGAATATTGCGGCAACAATCGCCATATTTTCAACAAGGGACACGACCAATCACACATGGATGATGACAGACACTAACTTCATGTCTTCAAACCCCGCTGCTGGATGCTGATGCGTTTCCGGGGCCATGCTCCGAGTAGGGTATTTTATGTTTTATAATAAAGGTTTTACACTAGTGAAGGCATCCTGTCTGGCTTTTGTTTTCTATAGGTATATTTAAAGTACACTACAGTAATTTATCTTTTTATATTAGATATTAGCATGTTTCTGAACATATTTATGTTTATGTAAAAATTATACTTTTTTATCATTTTAATATTCTCCATGTGCTGTAATTCTTGAGGGCAATCTTGTTATTGCTACCTATCCACCCTCTATTCATGTAGAGAAGGGGTAGACAAACTCCAGACCTTCAGCTGTGGTGCAACTACAAATCCCATTAGACATGGCAAGAGTAGCAGAGACAGATGCCTGTTGGCAAGATAGGGTTTGCCTACACCTGGTGTAGAGAAAGTTGTCATGAGAGTAAGAGGTGAAGGGAAAATTTTCTAAGGGGGGCAAATGGTTACAACGAAAATGGGAATTCCACTCAGGAAGTGAAAGAAAGAAAATCTCCAGTGCAGGACACAATGAGCAAAAAGTAACCAGTTAGGGGATTTAACCCATACATACCCTGTAGTAAACTAAAGGTTTTGGCTATACATACCAGTAAAGTATCTTTACTAATGTGGAAAATGTTATGGCTATAAAAAAAAAAATGTGGCATTATGCAAAAACAACTATAACACTGGAATAATGCTGTTCATTTCTGATTAAAGTGAAGTGTATCTGATTAGAAGCCTCTTATTCACACATGTGGGTACAAATTCAATACTGATGAATAAAAATATTTTGAGAAGAGGGAAAAAAACAGCCTTACCTTTGTACTGACAAACTTTCTGTATCCATGATAAAGGATTAACTTTCATGAGAGAGTACGGGATACTGATGACATGCATCATATTCATGACACTCTGAAATCAGAAGACAAATCCTTGATTACGGAAGAGGAAAGAAAGACACAGATAATCTTTCAGGCTAATTAATCCACACAAACAGCACTGCTAATTTTCTAATTTAATTTTTGCCTTCTCCAGGCATTTTCATGAGTGCACTTAAAGTTAATGTTCATAATAATTCAGAAACATGAACATTTTACAGCGATGTGAATTGCTGTGCACATTATCTACTAAAAGATACAGAGCGGCTATCAGGAATGTCCTTGTAAAACCAAAATGAAACATTATCCAAGCAGACATTTATGACGCCTATAAACTGAAGAAAATAACATTTAACGAAAGCTTAAGGCATATCTTTAAAAAGTTTAGACCCTGCTATTAGCCCATAGATAGTAATTCTGGGTTATTCTGGGATGTCGTGTGTCAAAAGCTCTGCTACAGCTGTAGAGCTCAACAGGTACATCCAAGTCAAAAAATTTCACATTTGCATGGATTTAAAGAAATCTTGCAAACTGGAGTCAAAGGAAGGTTTGCTGGTAGCAGCATTCGGTAGTGACTGAGTGTCATCACTACATCAGTAGTTCACCTACTGAACTTGTAGCACAATGTATGCTTTTCTTTTGAGCTGACAAGTTGGATGACATTAGTAGCTAGTACATCTTTTTAAACTGGCACCCATGACATGTTAGCAGTCTACTCCGTTAAATATCAACATCAAAACAAAGAAATTAAGTTTAAATAACTTCACAAAAATAGCTTAGTTGTCATATATTTCTAAATATGCCAGATCTCTGTAGAGTGACTACTGCTTCTACGCAAAGAGCAAGGGTTCTTCTCTGCGGTATGCGCTTGCAGGGGACAGACTTTTCTACTCAGGCTGTGGTTGTATGATTAACCGAAAAAAACAGATTCCTCCATCAATGCTACGAGCGCATTGATCAAGGCTGTTGGCCACTGTCAAAATACCTTAACAGAGCTGGCAGTTCATTGGCTGCCAGCTGGGTTCGTATGAAGATTTTCCGACCGACTCCTTCAATCAGCTGATCAAGGGATGCCGGCCAAAAGAGTGCCGACAGCGGCACCCACTGTGCGAAATTTGCACAGTGTATGGCCAACTTTAGAAAACAAACAATAAGACTTTGAACACCTTTTGATTGAAGTACTTAGAATGTATTTAGCCAATTTAACAGAAACTAAATTGAACTTTAAACAATTAAAATAGTTGATTATTCAACTGAATTTTAGCAGTCGGAGATTTCTCAAAACACTTTTGGGTGGGACAGCAGAATTTTGTTCACATGAGCCTTTTCTATGCAACCTCCCTCTCATGTTCCAGGATGTGTGTGTGAAGTTAAAGTAGGCTTGAGTGAAAGATGGTGTTAGAAACAGTGAATACTTGGCCTGCATTTTTACAAGCATATATTAAGGTTCATTTTGGATAATAAGCATACAAGCAACAATAAGGGATTTAGCATAGCAGATGAAGGCCAATGAAGATTACAGTCATTATAGTTTAAATTAGAGTTATTTTGCAACCCTTTAGAGTCAAATCAAATGCAACATTTTCATATTTGGCTGCAGCGTATCTTTAAGCAACATTTCCATCTACTAATTTCTCTACTAATTTTAAAACCAGACCAGGCCCAATTAGCCAAATGGCTATGTATGAGGAACACAGTTAAGCTTCTTTCAACCAACCACACTCCACCAGATTCCTCCAATCACACCCATCCAAACGTCCATTTTCCCTAAGCTACCAACCAAGCTACTGGTTGTAGTCTGCAATATCAAACTAAATTCTGAAGACGGTAAAAACTTGTCTACAAATGATGACTACTCTGTGCTACTTTAGAAATAATGCATGACAACATGCAATCAGCTTATATATTTTTCCAATATATCCATACTATATCCATGTCTACCGAATGCTGCAATATAGTGGGATAACTGACATGTCTAGATAAACATTTCATTGTAATGCATCTCCTGCTCTGTTTGGATCCAAAAATCAATGCACAATCTCTTAAGCACAGCCACCAAAGCCATTAATAACGAGAGGAAATATTATCCACAGAAAAACCAAATGCCTATCAGAAGCAGACATTCAGATTTTGCTGGTGACCACCACAGAGGCCAAGTCTATCACATCAGCACCATACCCTCCTGGGGAATCGGCATCCAAGTCACCTTCATGCATCTACTTGAAGTCACAATGATTACTGAAAAGGACAAAACAAGGTAAAAGGAAATACAGCAGGTGGTGGTGTGAAATTACTGCAGACTTACTGAAATGAGAGTGATTCTCTGTACACAGGGGATGTCATATACTATACACAGAGGCAGTCAGAGGTGCTGGAAAAAGGCATGCGTAAATTTTTGTTTGTGCCTCCAGTTCACTGCACAGTCCAGACTCTAGACTTGTTTACACCATGTCTGTTGAGCTGCATTTTTTGGCACATAGTCACACATACTGTATATCATACAAACACGACAGAAAACAATTGTTTTCTATGTGCCGTGTTCACACCATACATGTGTGCAAGAAAATGCAGCTTAACAACATGGTGTGAGTAAGCCCTTAATAAGCCTTCACCCATCTCAAATTGGGCATCACGTATGCACCACATACTTAGAACTAGGGAGAGAGAATAAAGGCTGACACCTATTGGTGCCCGGTACCACTTCTCCTGTCAGATAATTACTAATGCGGTCAATAGCCTAAATAGTTCAGGCATGTTTATCTCCTTCTATTCAATGTGCATTCGCAATTCGAGTGGACACACCACTTCCCTTCTCATCAAAAAGCCCAAAGTGTTCTTAAAACTAAATGTAATGGAAGTGCCCTATACTAAATGCTTATCTTTAAATGAGACTGGGTGAGTAAAATGTACTCTTCCAAATACTTGGAGCCGTTGTGTGACACGGCAGCTCTATAGATTGAAAGGTGATCGATCACAAACCGCTGATCGCTCAGCTCATGGTCTTCTCTTCTCCCTGCAGAGAACGGTGACTGTCAGATCCCTCCCCCATCACTTGTTAGAGGGATGGGCGGTCATAGCTGGCTGTGGAGAGGCAGAGCTAGCTGTCAATTAGGAAGCGGGGTGGATTCTAACAATATCGTCAGAGTCTTTACTGGCTGCAGTGTGGCTCTGTGCTGTCAGCAAATAGTGGGCAGTAGCCCACTGGATGCTGAGTTTGGGGTCACAGGAGTACATTAGCAAATGTACTCCTGTGACGCCAAAAGAGGAGCAACGCAAAAAAAAAAGGTTTGGCTTTAGTTCTCGTTTAAATAAATATTTTATACAAGTAATAAAATAATTTTTCAAAAAATCAGATTATAAAATTGTAAACACTAAAATAAAAAATGTCCAAAAAAACACTAATTTCCTATTAAACTGACAGGCAAGTAGTAGCAGCATGGGCATCATTTTTATTTATTTACTCTTTGCTCCTGGCCCCACAGACTTGCTCCCCATGGAGCTTCCCTTTAACATTATAAATTGAAACAAGGACATGATCATTAGGATCGTACACTTCCTAATTAAAAATAATTGTTCCTGACTTTATTCATTTACTATGGTCTTGTCCTAAGATCAGTGCTCTTTGGCAACGAGTTGTGGATTACATGAACTCACTATAAGGAGAGGAGAGGGAACCACTGCCCCACTTATGCCTGTTGCACGATATCCCTCACGCCCACACAATACCAACCCCCCCCCCATTTCTCGATGGGAACACCTCTGCCTTTTAGCCTCCAAGAAAACCATTCTCACTAACTGGCTGCTCCCTAAAGTACCTGATACAGACGACCTAATTACAACCCTTCGTAAGCTCATGCTTTTAGACAAATCTGATTCCCATCTTGATGAGAAACGAACAGGTCGATTCTTTAACACGTGGTCGGCATTCCTTGCCTCGACTCTATCCCTAGATCAACTTAAGGAAATTATGTTGACCTTTCAACACTCGAAATGGTATGATAGAGCCAAGTTGGAAGGCTCCTTGGGGGCCTTGGATGTATTATGAGCTTAATGCTGGAGCCCCTTTCCTCATACTATAAAAAATGTCCCATATCACTAGGATCAGTATTGGTTGCGGTCTACCCTTGCCCATTGCTCTACGATCCTCCTCATCCCTTGACACTCAGTTTGTCCCGGTTTCGTCCCTTTATCACTACGATCTTACATGGTGTACCCCAAAATTAGTTCATATCGATCTGATAATATTGGTGAAGCATTAGATGTTTATCTTATTTTACCTCTTCTCTCTTTACCCTTCTGGTTTATCGACAACTGATCATAAGTTGTTGCAATGTTTGCTATGCAGATAACGGATGCTCTCACAGTTGTTTTTTACTGACATAGCCGTTATCTATACATGTCATAGAATGTATTAAGCATATGCCAATCTGTTACGATGGTTTTACATGTGTATCTGCTGTGAATGTTTGAAAAATGTCAATAAATATCACATGCAAAAAAAAATAAAATAATAATTGTACCCGAGTATGGAAGTCAACAAAATTTCACCAGACCAAAGCCTGTTATTTGATTAAAGTAAAACACATGAGAAAACAACATCTAATGCTGAGTCAGTATGCGGCCTGGAGGCGGTGGCGCTGGATGTGGGTGGCTTGGAGGCGTCTGGAGGACAGTTCTCTTGTGGGATAGACGGGACGGCCTCTCCTCCCTGCTTCTCCTTTCACGTTCCAAATACCTCAGGATAAACTAAGTGGCCAAGACACGTTTTTCATTCAAGGCTTCCACTGTACTGCCTACCTCCCACCTCCTGCTCAATATTGGGCTGTTTGGTTCCCACTTTGGCTCTCTTGCTCACTGGGGAGGACCATATTGGGTGTGTTGCCCGGATAGGCCCGTTTGGACACACACACACACCAGCTTGTGTAAACTGATATTCCCTTTTCCTGAAGCGCAGAGGTGCACGAAATGTTGAAACTGCTCTTCCACACCTAACCCTTCTAACAGTATATTTTTTGATCACATGACTACCAATTATGTTATGTTTATTATGATATTGGGACTTTATTTGCCTTAATCCAGATCATGCATTATATTTCTATGTGTTGAACCCAGATCATGTTGAATATTAATATTTTTTATATCTGAATCATGGTTTCCTCAAATGGTCATATTCTGCATGAAGGGCGGTGCTAGTGGAGATAAAATCTGCTCCACTCCTAAACATTGTTTATAGACCCATCCATGTCATTATTGTGAATTTTGGACACCTGATGAATTAACCCTGATCATGTTTATATACTAATTGCTAATCAAAATGCGAATCATGTCTTTTCTAAAAACATCTATACTGTGAATGGAAGGTTTTCTGTGAAGGGAATGAGCATATAGGGATGTATCTACTCAGCTGGTTGCTTTTATGAATTGACTATGAGCCTCTTTTTAAATTATCATTATTAACAAATTATATTTTGTATGTATTTTTGTCTGGAGTTGTCATTCTGGTGCTTCCAAAACCCCACTTTTCTTCTCATTTTTCGATAACATCTAATGCTGACAATGAATCAGTATCATCAATCTATCCATCTACTGTATTTACATTGACGTGGCTTTATTCGACAGTGACATTTCACTAGATATATGCCAATCATATCATGATTCACCGTGGAACAAGGAGGACAGTTAACAGACAGGAACTGTACAATTTTCTGAAGCTTGTGTCACTCACCCCTTGCAGATTCAGAATAATCAGAGTATGCCCAAGCATGCACAAAACTGTCAGTAACACCCACCTCCTGGCCCAGTCAGTTGCGGCCAGAGTGTTCTCCACCCTTTTTACATCCAGCTGCAGGATGGGAAATGCCCCGGCTGCAACTACTTGCATCGGGAGGGGGGCATGTCGCTGACATTTTTGCAGGGGTTTTGCACCAAGCCTACACAGATCCATATTTATAATAAAGACGAGACAAGCAGTACACTCTAAAATGACTGTTGTAGATGAACCAAGTCTGCACATGTGTGTATTTTGTTATTTATGACTTGATCACCGTAAAGCACATTTATAATTGACTGAATGCTAGATTAGTCTATCTTACTTTGTATGTTCTTCCGTTTTAGAAGTCCTGTAAATTGCATGGGGGCGGGGGGCATTATAATTATCAACTGGTATGATATAGGTGGACTGTTCACCTGAGAGTATACAGGCAGTGTTTTTTTCTGTTTTCTTACAGAGATGTTTCACTCATATTTCTGTACCTTCATTTAATGCTCTATCTAAAAACCCTTATACCACCACTGTTCTTGTTATGGTAAGTTTAGTGTACAGAAGTGTTTGCTATAGGGCTATTGACCTGAAATTATACAAACAGTGGCAGTGTTTTTTCAATTGCATTACAGGGCTTCAGCCAAGTACAGTCCACCTCAATAAAGACTGAAAATCCACTTATGTGCAGATGTGGATGTCTGACTGATGGCTGGAAGGTGTGTGAGGATCAGCTATATGTGCTTCAGATTAAAGCCCAAGATAGTGGGTTACAATAACAAGATCATGCTCTTTTACTTCCTGTACATTTACAGAAGAAAAAGACAGCAGAAACTCTGCTATGTAAAATATTTTCCTAAACTTGTACTTTAGCAGCTGTTGAGATAAAATACCAGCCACACGGGGTGAATTGATTTTATGCGTCAGCTAACCCACAGGATTTGCATTGTGAGATGGAACAATAAAGCACAACCATTGTGTGACAGTGCAAAACGGGAAGCAGATCCTGTATTTCTTCTAAGCAAATATTGCTGCTCCTATGTACATATATAATTACAGATTAAACATAGTTTTGAAAGCATTAACAAATACTGATCAGATTATTTACATTACATTGACCTTTTTTAATGAAAAAAACAGTGATAGGACTATACCTTCCCTGCAAAAATACCTAGAAAAAAAGGCATAAAAATGTAATGGATGGCCACTGTTAATAGTGAACAATGATTCTATTCATGAACATACGGGGCACCCAGATGCAGTAAAATATGGTCCTAGACCGAAAAGGCTTTGTGTGATAATGGCAGGTGTACAGCACAGTGAATAATCATCCCATGCATCACTATTTATTCTAACGAGTGGGCAGTTGTCAAACCATTGCAAGAACAAACACTGATGCCATTGTCAAATGGAGGATTATCATCAACTTTATATGTTTTTAAAAGGTCCTTTGTAACAGAGAAAGAGGAAATGAGCACGTACGGCAGGTGGGTTTTGAATTTTATTTTCAAAGTAATCCACTGCTGCGAGATGTCAAATTGCCCTTACAACGAATGGCCCACTGTGGCAGACTCATCTTGTGAGATGACCAGAGTGTGCAGTAGACAGGAAACTCCACAGAACAGCCTGTTAACATCTGCACAGCTATTCCTGGTGTCCTGCTGAACATTCTGCAGAACTGTCTGTAATTATGCTGTATATTGCTGTGGAGTACAATAACTTCACTCTAAGATACACAGCTATCAATCTTACAGCAGATGAGGTCTCAATCTCTTGGTACCCTGTTATAACTTGATACTGGGAAACTAAAAAAAATTACCCCAATTAAAGGCCCTTTCTAGTTTACTCAGACACCTATACAACTTCTTTTTCGAACTCCTTTATAACTGAAATATAAAAGGTTTATGCCAACGTCTCCTTTCCTTTTGCTCCGTGGTATTAATCCCCCCATGATTCAATTTCTGTACATGTTGAGGCAGTCCAAAGCACAGTATGAGTACATTCAACACTGCAAAAAATAATATAAATTTCAATATATATATAGCAAAATGTACTAGCCAGGATTTAAAATGTAGCCCATTTGGACATTTTGTTCTGTTTAAAAGTACATAGTATAGATTTATATTGCTTTAAAATAGGAATCTATTGACACATTTACCTACATCCCTTCCAATGGGAGATTGGGTAATGTCTATATTCATCTCCTACGCTACATTTTGCGGACAACACAAGTTATACAAGATCTGTTCAGGGAAATCCATCAATGCACCATGGGGGAATAATTAATGTTCCTTGAATTGGCCTGCTTAGTGAACACACCCACCACGAGGAGCAGTGGCCATGAAAAGTTCTGCACATGTACTAGACTGGAAAAATTATCCGTATGCATTTATTCACAGGACAAATGGTAGTTTTCCAATAACTGCACCAAAGGTATAAACTTATAGTTTAGTTTCAATAAAGGAAAACTACAAAATAGCCACAAAATATGAAGACTGCAATTGATCACCTCTCATGAAAATGCTAGTTGCTGATTGCCATGCAGTTGCAACATCTTCCCTTTTTTCTCAGTCACTGACCTGGAACAAGTATGCAGATAAGGAGTGATAATTTTACTTTGGCTTTTTAATTTGCATGCTTGTTGCAGGTCAGTAACATAAAATATTGAAGGCCCAGACCGCCAGCCAACTAGAATTCCAGAAGCAATGGTCAGCAAATAGCAGGCTATACATTTCTGCCACTGCAGTTTCCTTTAACTTCTGTTCATATATTTTGCCTCTAAACCTGCACTGTGGTATCCCAGGCGCTTTGGAACATGTAAAAAAAGTTGTAGGTAATAAACATGAAAAGATTCATATCTTACTGTAAGAATTCCATGCCACAGTCCAACATCTTTCTTGAAATCCAGCACATTCACAATGGTTTCCGCTAGACAGGGTAAGGAAAAAAAATAAGTATTAACTTAGAAATAATGGTGCCTTCAAAAACAACAACACTATTATAACCAACAGACTCATTCACACTGGGGGTGCATACTTATGCATTCTAAATGCATGTGAACAGCATCTGCTTTATTAAACACTGAAGTCAACTGTTTATACCAGCAGTGCACAATTCTGGCCCACGAAGACTCCTAACCACAAATGTTTTTCAGCTCTGCTCAAGTCTTACAGGCGAGATCATTAATCTTGTTCCCTTAGTACCTAAAGGGAAACTACAGTGGTTTTTAGTTTTACATACAATCTTTGTTTTAAATAATAAACATTTAATACAGCGCACCCCATGACAGGGGTCCACGTGGCTTTGCAAGTTTTTTCAAGAGAAAGAACAACTGTAGCTGTTGTCTTTGAGAAGTTTAATCTCTGATTGAAACTTCATATAGCACAGCCTGAAGGGAAGGAGAAGAAAGATTCACTGCTCAGCCTCATTCATTCACTTGTATGTCAATTTAATCTCAACTTATTGAGCCCTGTAAACTACAGGCTTTTGCCCCCATAGTGAAGCATAGGAAAGGCCAGAACGTATTGGAAAAGAAGACAAGAACTCCAAGGGCTGGCTGCATACGAAATTTTGAAAAATGCATATATATATACAATATAGTACTATATAAAAGTTTTAGGCACTAAAGTGAGGGTGCTTATAGATATTATTAGTGGTGGAGGTCCCTTGCAGGTTTGGGACTGCATTTCTGCACATGGAGATGGGTATTTGGTCAGAGTGAATGGTCTCCTTAATGCTAAAATGTAAAGGAAGATATTTATCCTTTATACAATTCCATCAAAGAGGTCTCTGGTTGGTACCAAATCCATTATGTAGCAGGATAGTGACCCCAAACATACAGCTAAAGTCACACAGAACTGTCTTCAGCAATAAAAAAAAAAAAAACACACAGCAACCCTTCCCCATGCTTATCAGATGAAAAAGTTTGGCTGGGCTTCAACATTCAATCACTGAGAAATTACATCTTACCTTCAGTGTAGCCACAAGCTTGTGTAAGTGCTTGGCAATGTGTGAGAAGTGCAATTCTCGTCACCGTTACTCCCAGCACGCTACCATCTTTACAAGTTTTGTACTAAAGAAAAAGATAAGTTTTATTAGATGGGATAGTATGTTGATACAAAACATATTGAAAGAATCGTGCGCAAGCACAAAATGTTCAAACGTGAAGCTATTGTTTCATATCTGTTGGAAATAAAAATATCTAACCAACAGGTCCGTGACCACAGCTGGGACCAGAACACCCTTCTAGATCTGCATTACTTCACAAATAAGGATATAGCTATCAACGGCCAAGAGCGAAGATGGCTTTTGACCATCAGTCACTGGACTAACTTGCTCCCTACACAAAAACATTTCTCCTAAGATTAAAATATTGACCTACTCTCCTTTGGCATATACTGGAAACCAGAGAAACCCAATTCCTGGAATGGATAAGGAAGAATGAATGGAGAAGCTAAAATAACTATAATTCGTATAGCTGCAAGTGATCTGATTTATGCACAAATTGTAATACACCATAAAGTGTGTCGCAAGTTAAAACATAATTTTTATTTTTCGATAGAGCAGAGAAGGGTAAACGCCTATCGAGTATTTTCGCCATCTGTGTCCCAATGGGAAAATTTCCATTCTCTTCCTGTCCCAGACACACAAACATTTGATTGTAACTCTCTCCAAAGTAAGGGGAGATCATATCTTAGTTGTCACCATAATAAAAGCCCCAATTAGATTATTTCACCTCTATTTCTGTTCATGTGAGAATTCTCCAACAAATTTTGTATTTCCCATTACTTCCTATCCCAGTGAAAGTGGTCATCAGAACCCAGCGGAACATGGACAACAATACCTGACAGGGATTCTAGCCCTCCCCCATTTTATCCAAAGCTGAAAAGAAAAGGTTTGGCTTTAGATACAATTTAAGTATCTAGCTATTTCTGAAGTGTGTTTACAAATGCTAGAGAGAGTAAAATGTACCCACCTCTATGTAGGCAGTGTCGTTATTTGCATCTTTGATATGTGGAAACCAATCACGAGGTGGTTTGGACAGATGTTTCGATTCTGTGACAAACCAGAGCAGCTTTGGCCAACCTAACAAAGAAATGTGCAGCCTTTGTTGATTTTTATTCTGTTGATTATTTTGCTCTACTTGGCAGTAAAATATATTCTTGTCAGAGATCACTAAGTTGACATCTTTAACATCATTCATTTAGGACATACATTATTCAACATGCTGTATTGTACTAGCAGACAATTTTAGGTCACTTCCAAACCAAAACCTACAGCATTTAAATGTGTGCATTTGAAATTATATCCTTGTACAAATCACACAGATTGAAAGATCGAGAAACATAAACAGCTATATGGATTGACTGATGGAAAGATATGACTTTATGGATAGATAGAAAGAAACAGATTGACAGATATGACTAGATGGATAGATACATACAAGGAAGCAGAGATGGAAATATTAGAATATAATATGCATAGATGGAAAAATGGAATACACAGATATACACTATATAGACAAATGTATGTGGACAGCCCTACATATATTGTTAAGGTGTTTACTCTAAAGCAGTGGTTCTCAACCTGTGTAAACTCGGGACCCACATTTGTCCTCGGTCATTAAGGCGCGACCCAAGTTGCACTGCAATGTTCCATGTTGCGGTTCCGATGCAGGTGATCGAACTGTGGGTGGGAGGTGCGTATGGGTTGCCATTATGGAAACTGGAGTGGATCCTCAACCTGGGGTCCAGTGTGGGCTGCTGTGCTGGGATGAAGCTCCATCCATATGTGTATTGCTTGTAAAGCTCCCTTGCGTTCCTGTAGAGGTGTCAGGAGCCAGAATATGATGAGCTGTAAGCAATGCAGGTATGGAAGGCGCTCCCTCGTGGACATAGCCCCACCCCACCCGACTCCACGTCGACAATCAGCACCGGGCATCATATTTTTGAATGGCTGTTCAATGCGAGAACTGGCAGTGCTTCTCTAGGAGAAGGCTGAGGATCCTCTCACCTTGAAAAGTGGAAGGCATGTGGCGACCCACCGGACATGGGGTCGCGACCCACTTTTGGGTCACGACCCACCAGTTGAGAACCAAGGCTCTAAAGGGTACTGTTAATGACACAGCGTACAAAGACATTTTAGACAATTGTACACTTCCATTCTTGTGGTAACAGTTTTGGGAAAGTCTTTTTCTGTTCTAGTATAATTGTGCCCCTGTACTCAAAGTCAGATTTATAGACAAGATATGATTTAACGAATTGGATGTGGAGGTACTCGAGTACACCTTTAGAATGAATTGAAGTGTCAGTTGCAAGCCAGGCCTTCTTATCCAACATAAAACATCTAACCTCAATAATTATTTTTAATTGAATGGGCACAAATTTCCACAGATTCCAAAATCTTCTGGAAAGCCTTCTCACATGAAAGGGGATATAACTCCATATAAAGGCCCATGGTTTTGGAATGGAACTTCCATACAACTTGTATAGATGTGATGGTGTCTAAAACTACTTGACCATATAGTGTATGAATAAATAGAAGGAAAGATGGAGAGATGTATGGACAGAAGGATACAGAAATGGAAATCCAGAAAGAATGTGCATGTAAGAAAAGACTGCATGCAAGGATGTATAGAAAGATGCATATATGGATGCGTAGGTTACACAGATTAGCTGATCGGTGGATACGTGAATGAAAGAATGGACAATGATGATAGATGTATATCAATAGATGTATATAAATAATTGACAAAACAAAAAGAGGACTGCTATACACTACAAAAGAGTTCCTCAGTCAGTGGTAGATTATGTACATGAGGATGGATAAAGATACAATGGCACATGACAGATCATAATGATGAAAAAAGAAATACATATATTTTTAGATTTTTTGGTTGGACAGACAAAAAAACCCAGCTATATGCAACAGTACAGTTCCTTGATCACTTGTTGGTGAACCACAAGGGGCTCTTAAAATGCATCCAATACATACGTCTGTTTTTTATGGCAAATTATAAAATTTAAAACGTTTTAGCAAATACTAAATCATAAAGCAGGTTTAAGCATGTGCTCATTATGTAAAAAACACCAGGCACTGCTTGAAATATATTTATATACAATATGGAGGTACAAGGCAGGACATAAATGTGCACTGGGCAAGATGCGCTGTACTTGACTTTTGCATCCCACCATTCAGGCAACATATATTAACACTGATATTTATACAGGGCACAGAGGTAAAAAAATAGTGCACAACACCTTTTCGACATAGCTATAATGGCACAACTTCACAAATATCCATGTATGGGTCATCTGGTCATGTACAGTTACGTACCTTTAAATTGTGGTATTTCCCCAGTAGGACTCTTGGGCAATCCTTTATGACAGGCATCACTAGTCAAGGCCACTGTAACTCCACAGCTTCCTAACAAGAAGCCAATCTGCTGGCTTCCGGCATCCTAGGTAAAGAAAGATATCATCATGTATTATAAAACACATACAACTTTGTTCACAGCCAAATAGACACAAAAGGAATATGTTTAGCAAAACACAATCACTTTTCTTTCTCACTCTCAATAAATATGATTATTCAATAAAAAGAATATCTAAAGCAAAAATGTTTTATTCAATTTAGATTGAGTGCGGAAGAGTTACAACCCGTCAAGTTTTCACTGCCATATGTGTCCCTTTTTTTTTTTAACTGCCTTGGTGGACACAATGTAAAGGAAATTATTTTTTCTTTACAGATGTATCTGGAACAGGAAAGGAGGACAAACCTCCCCAATGAGGATAGGATTGAATGAAGAGCAGAGGAGATGTGTTTACCTAAATTGACAGCATATTATTTGTGTATCTCATATCTTAAAGCCCAACTGCAGTGTCAGGGAAAATGCTTAAAATAAAATCACGGTGCAGTGAAATAGTGTTCTATGTCCCACATTAGTGATAAACAATGGCTTGAGGTGACAAAACACGCCCTCCCAAACAACAGTTGTGGCCAGGGTACATTACAAAAGGGGCAGGGAATGTCCCAGCTGCAACTGGCTTTGTGTCAGTTACATTTTTGCATAGGTTGGGTGAACTGGGTTTGCACAGCGTCAGCAGAAAAGTACTTGCCTTGTATTTCGCAGCAGAGAAGGACCACTGTGCTCTGTGTGAGAGCAGAAGTCTCTCTGCAGTTATCTGAAGTGAGGAAAGCAAGCATTACTGACTTGGACTCTTTAGGTGATTTAAAATAAGTTACACTTACTATTTTACTGCACTCCGATTTCATTTTCAGCATTTGACCCAACACTTCCAATTGGGCTGAAGGACAATTCCCATTTAAAATAAAGGGTATTTATGTAGTTGCACACAATCTTTTTTGTAAATATTGGTAGTAAAAAAATAGCCTTTCTAGGTAAATCTGCAGCCAGCTATGATTTTCTAAATTTGAATGGTGAAGTTCTGTACACTGTTGTTGTATGCAACTTCCCAAGAAAAGGCATTTCTTGATCATGTAATTGGCTCAATGGAAAATGTATTTTTTGCTCTCACCATCGGGGAGATTTCCCATAACTTCCTGTCCTGGAGATGCAATAGGAAATGGGAGGAAATCTCCCCTAAATTAACAGAATTCTCATCATAGGGCATTGGTCACAGACACAGGTGGCCCTGTCGGAGGATTCACACTCATCTCTTGCTCTGGTGAGACTCGAATGTTTGGTTTTCACTCACTTTCTGTATTGGTGACTGTGGTTACCAGGACAAATAAAGAGGATATAGGCCCTCACTGACAACTTGTGAAAGGGTCTAACCCAGAACTAAAAAAAAATTTACAAAAAATATTTTACATACACTTTAAGAGATGTCTGTTGTATATAAAGTTAAAGCTGAATTCAGGAAGATATAAAAGACACAAATTAATGTAGATATATGTTTATTAATAAATAAATGCTTTTTTAAATGTAACAGTGAAATACTTGGTATTCATTTCTTTCAATCCTTTATGAACCAGCACCTAGATTGAGAGAGGCAGGGTAGCCAATCAGGTGTGCTGCATGCAAATGCATTGACATGGAATATACTAATAGAGGGAGAAAGAGCAGGGCGAGCAGATGAATTTAATCTATGAATTTAGCCATTTGCTTTAGGATGATGTATAGCTTAATGATTTTGTCCCTTTAAAATGCACCGCTATAATGTAGAAATGTACAGTGATAAATGTGTGTGAGCGTGTGTCTTACTGCTGGGAGATGCAGATTTTAGTATAATCTTGTAGTTAGTCATCTTCTCAGCTGCAGGCTACATGTCTGTGTGACGACTGAGGCTCCTGTCAACCCCATGGAGTCAAACTGAGCTGGAAGGATTTGAAGTAAAGCTGATTGCACTGCTACGTTATTTACAGTGACTTCATGAATATGTGCCATAAAAATAGATACATTTGCTTCTTGGATAATTTTTTCGCCTTATCCCAAGGTTAGTCTGAATTTTTACTTTTAAACATAAAAACACTAATTTGTGTACAACGAAGCAAACACAGAGCCAATAGCAGCCTGCCCAAGTCTTTATTTCATTTGCCTTAGAACAGATTTGATTATGACAAGTGAAAGCTGCCAAGGTCTAGCCGTTCTAGTTTTTATAAGATAGCTGCAGTGGGTCACATGTATGAGCTGACATACCTACAACTCTGTGTTATGAATGAGACTAGCTCCTATAACTGCACAACGATGTATGGGGTACCAGGGCTGGTTCTTGCACCTTCTATAGAAAAAGGGATGGACTTTTACAGTGCTATGAGGTCAGCTCATTGATTAAATGTTATTTGATGTCCACTTAACCACTCTGTAAATCAGACAAGTAATATCTTACATGAGTGGCCACAGTTTCAGAGATTTTGTAACTAGTAATGAGCAGTGGCTTGGTGCACCCCCAGTTGGCCTAAGTTCATCCAAGAACATACAAAACTGTGACTGACACAACCCCTTCCCAGGCCAATTAGTTGCGGCAGAGGCATCCCCTGCCCTGCAACTACATACCACAAACGGGCATGGAATCTGCCTGCCGCACCAAAACCCTCTCATAACTGTTTGGGAAAGTCCAAGTTCTAAGCCTAACAATAGGTGGTTGGGATTTCAATGCAGCAAAGTAAGTAAATCATCTTGAGGAAAGGTTAACTGAGATAAATGTATTCACCGTTGACAATAGATGGTTAAAGAGGGACATGTCCACTTTCTATAAATGGTCTACATACAAAATTCAGTGAATAGTTGTTCATTTAATGGGCACCACAAGACTCAAGGGCATTTTTTGTGACATTGGCATGTGGAAATGGTTCTTTATGGAGGGCTGTGTTCTAGCAAATTGTTAGATTAGTAGAAGTCATAAATGACTACTAATGGTATAGATAACATAACAAATGGCAACTTTAAGTTGAAGTATGGTCCTATATGAGCTGTGAAATAGATCCAGAAGTAGTCTACTATTAGTTATAAATGACTACTAATTATTGTTTGAAATAATATTGTGTAATGTTGATCTAAGGAAGTTTCCACTCATCTTTGGGGGTCAGAAAGATTATTTTCCCAGTTAGAGAATGTATTGCTTTATACATGCTTTATTAGGGTTTTTAGCTTTCTTCTAGATTAACTGTGAGCTTTTTCCAACCAAACCAGTGCATTCTCTATTGCGGACAATATGGCCATATTCTAACAATATTAACCACTTGCAAAGCACAAAAAAACATTCATTATCCTGGCCATATAGATATATTGTAAGTATATACATTGCGGGTGTTAGGTTGCCTTGATTGAATAGTTTTTTTCACATTGGAAGCTTGTTTTAAATGGTTGCAAAACTACCATGTGTATGGTCCCCATATCAAATAGATACACTTGGAGTCTTGGCCAGTTTAAAACGATTTCATGTATTGCTGAACTAATTGCATTGTAGAACAAAAAAGGTCAATTATGGAAGCAGTAGTATAAATATGACATCAAGTAACCTATTTGAGGAGCATGAAAGAGTAAGTAACTTTATAAATTGGAGGTTCAGCACATGCATTTAAATAACTGAGAACACAGATTGTAAGCACTTCTGCAAGCAGCTCACCTTCCTTGTAAGTGGCACTTCAATGGGAACAGGAACAACTTCAGCTAATAGACAGCCATAAAATGCTACCATAAATGCAGCAGGGTCATTATTTGGAAAGACAAGGGCCACCTACAAGAACAAACAAGTCATTAGAAGAGGCATGCACTCATCTCACCAGGTTTCACTTGACTGGATAAAAACAGTGTGATATATGTTTAGGCTTTTCTTTATTCTGCCATTTCATGCCTCAGAGATTTAAATATCCCACTTTACAATCTATAAAAAGGCAACTGGATACCAAAATAACATGCAACCTAAGTCGCTTTGGTTAAACATCTGACTACAGTTATTTACATGTTTCTCCTGTGTACTAAATGAGAACACATATGACATCACAAAAAAGGAATCAGTGGGTCAGTTCAAACAGTACAGAGTCTGAACAGCATTTGCCACTATCAGAAAGACTGTAAACTGGAAAGGAGAAAGTTACATAAATACACATATCAGACAAGATACAAACTGGGTTGAGACGGATTGGAAATAAACCCAGAATACTTTTATTACAGTAAACTGAAGGGATATGTGATAAGGTTAGTCTTTTATAGCAGTGGTTCTCAACCTTTCTAGGGCCGGGACCCCTTGGTAACATTTGCCAAGTTGTGGTGACCCCCAACCGTAAAATTTAGGGATGCACCAATACTAGTATCTGTGTGGGCTCTCGGGAGGCAATGCAGGCTCTCAGGTGGCTAGTGGGACTCTCTGTAGGCATCCAGTGTGGGCTCTGTGGTGATGAAGCACTCACCTCCCCTCCCTTCTGCCTGCTCCACTCTCTCTGATCCTCTCTGGCCACTGCTGCTGCAGCACCATCTAGGAGAACTGACACTGCTGCGCTAGGAGGAGGCCGAGGAGCCTCTTACCTAGAGCAGCACAAGGCATGTGGGGACCCCCTCAACTGTGGGTCGCGACCCACTTTTGGGTCCCGACCCACAGGTTGAGAACCACTGTTTTATAGGGTCATTCATATTAGATATGAATGACCCTATAAAACAGCATGCTTTTTTAGCTAAAATATTATTATAACTCATGATCATTTTTTCATGCTATATTTACAAATATACATAGCTCATTTCTCTTCAGGGAAGCCTATCCCACCTCAACCTAACCAGTCATCCATCACGTTCTCAAACAATTCATCCCCGCACAGCTACCTCCTCATGTATCACTTCTCCCTCCCTTTTAGATTGTATGCCCTCAGGGGCAGGGCCCTCCTTACCATCTTGTCTTGAATTGTATTGCGATTGTAATGTCTTCCTTATATTGTAAAGCGCTGCGCAAACTGTTGGCGCTATATAAATCCTATATAATAAAAATTATAATAATACTACATGCTCTAAAAATATACCTACATTTGCAAACTAAACTGTTAATTAAAAATACACTGTCTGGAAACAGGTGCAAGTTATCATGTGGTGCACCTATTCCCTCTCCTTCGCACTTAGACCATCTCTTATGCCCCTAAATTGGATTTTTCCTGTCAGCTAAATCAGTCAATTTCAGATATGATTAATTTAACTGCAAACCCTGCTCTCGGTAAAATTACGTTTAGATTTCCTAACAGCTACTGTACATAAGAGTAAGTGCCTACCTAGATTAGACTATTCATTTAATTTATATGCAAATCAGGAGCTCACACTCGTAAGTGTTCTTTAATCTGTAGTTGACTGTACAATTAGATAATAGTGTGTGTGACCAGATTAAAGGCACTTCAACGATCTAAACAGGGAAGTAAATGTGCAGATATGCATACATCCATACCTCCCAACTTTCTCAGAGGGACACCTTCCAGCACAATGTATTTAGTCAATGGGTACACCCTTGCCACCTTCCCAGTTATGCAGACAATTAAGAATTACTTTTCCTTTATACTGGCTTTTCAAAATAGCAAACAAGATAATAAAGAGATAGGATGATTTTCTGTATATCAGACCAAAAAGAAGGGCAACTAAGAAGGAAAGAGAAAGAGAGGGATTTTGATTCAAATAAAGGGCAGCCCCTCCAAATGATGGACAGATAGGAGGTATGTTAATACACCTTCTGCTTGGTTTCTGCTGCTCATGCTGATTAAATCAAAAGAAGATAAACTATAATAAACAAAGCAGCACAAAAACCTTATAACAATCATGGGATGGATATTCTCTCTCTCTAATAAATATTATATATACACACACACACGCACGCACACACGCTTATCCTGCAGATCAACAACGTTAAGCATTTGCACAAAAATAATTCAAAAACTGTCTTCAGAATGATTTTATCAGAGAGAAATTAAAGGTTTAGTCATTCAAACACCCACATTGGGTGGGAAAACAGTTAAATGATTATAGCAGATTTAGACCAGTGAGACCAAGCAATGTTTAAATGCTAGCTGAATGTACGAGTTCCATCTGCGACGCAAGTCCTTGCTAAATCCTGCCCTTTTAGTGAACAGAGCTGTGAAATTACTATGTGTTGAAACATAATTATGCCTTTACAGTGCAGTGACATTTTGGAGCAAACGTGGAGCAAGTGAGCTAGAGTGACCTCTCTATCATCTCTGTATTGATATATACTTCTGGGATGTTTTTTGTTTTTTTATCATCAATGAAAGTTGTACAACATTCAAGAACAAGAACTACATGAATGTTACTGCAAGTGCATTGTTTTATATTGAACTATGGGATTTTTTACAATAATCTAAATAAATATTTATTAAGTACATATATCTGAGTCCTTTCTAAACACACTCCATCACAATAGCAATATTGAACAAAGTGCTATTACTGGATTTACATTCAAGAACAGATCTTTCATTGAAAATAAAGATACCCTTTTAGCAATTCGGAGTTAAAGAACTCTAACCAACATTCGAAGTGTATATGTTTTGAAAAAATAAATATGCCTTTAGGGTGCAGCAACATTTTAGAGCAAGGAGAGGACGAGAGGGCTGCAGAAACTTTGGTGTCATCTCTTTGTGTTTATTTCTCTTATCTTATGATACTCATTTGAAAAATGTGCAGTGGCTTGCAAAAGGATGACAGCGACTCTGTGCTTGACCTAGCAGAGGATCGGTAAATATCTGCGATATTTACAGATTCTCCACTTGCAGAGCAAACACTGGAGTAATCAGGTGATCACTCCAATGCTTGTAAACAACTTGAGACACATAGTACTATGTGTCCCCAGTTATGAATGAACAGGAAGTGCTTTACATCACTTCCTGTTCATTCATGAGTTTCTAAATCAGTAGAAGTGCTCACTGTGGAGGCTACTACCCATTCAGAAACTGGTGATAGTACAGAGACTTTCCATTCATTCAGAAACTTCCATTCAATTAGAACAGAGGCTGCAGAAAAAGAGGATTGTGTCCTCAATTTCTTTTTCTATTTCAAAAAGCCCTCCCAACAGTAAAACAAAAAAAACAACAAAAAACACAATATAAAATCACTGATACTGATTTTAGTGTGCTTTTATCAATTGAATTGTGTTTTTTTTTTATCATTTCCATATTGATTTGATAAACATTTGCCCAATTATTGCAGGGCCTACAAAATTAGCAGTACCATCTTTTTTTCTATCGCGCCTGTGCTTTCAAAAAATATTGGTTTAATAATGGTTTTGGGGGGTCTTTTACAAATGCTAGCAACCTAGCAATAGAAAATCAAAACAATGGGAAAATTTGCAAATATGGTGTGGCCAGCTGAGGTGTAAAGCTTTCGAGGGCTTGGCAGTGAAAGGGTTAAATGTCTTAGAATGGCCTAGTCCAATCACAGACCTCAATCAAACTGAGAATCTGTGATATGACAAAGATTGCTGTACACCAGTGAAACCCATCCAACTTAAAGGAGCTGGAGCAGTTTTGCCTTGGAGAATGGGCAAAAATGTGCCAAACTTATAGAGACGTACCTCAAGAGACCTGCAGCTGTATTTATGGCATGTTGTGATACAAACTCCCCCCCCCAAAAAAATCAATTTTAATTCCAGGTGATAATGGACAAAATAGGAAGAATTCCGAGAGGGGTGAGTAGTTTTGCAAGCCACTGTAAGTGCACCAGGTCGTTAAAATGAACCAGACTTTCCCATTCAGGAATCAGTCTGGAAAGATCATGGTGAGACAAACAGCAATTTCTTCACAGCAAAAAAGGTAGGAATCTGCAACAAAGTTTGTTAAAATCTTTGCAATGTACATTGAAAACCCAGAGTGTTTTTTTTTTCTCAACAAAAAAGAGAAGTTACCCCTTAAACAGCGCATAACTTTTTTTTAGGGCTTTATTGTGGCTTCCAATACTGTACGCAATCATAAAGGGGGTGTTCAGAGTACAGATGGTACTCCCCTTTCAGCAGGTCATGTGACCATAGAACTACCGTAGTTTTCTAATCATGTGCCCTAATATAGGCAGTTTGGAGCAGTTTATCAGAAAAATGAAAACTTACAATACTACATACTGTATCTATCCAGCAACTATTGACATAGCTTTAATATAACATCTGGTAAGGGACCACATCAATGCAAATTTAATATTTCTGAGCCATGGTTACCATTGTTATACCTCTCCAACAGGCACAAACACCCATAAACTTACCCTGTCTCCAGGCCTGACCATAGGCTCTTGTTTTGTTCCCAGCTTATGCAGTATATTATAGGCAACCTTCATACTTCTGGTCCATAGTTTACCTATGCAGAAAATGAGTTAATTATGAACTTGCATATCAAATATGAATATATTTTTTCGTTGTTAAAGTAGTGTTCCAACAGTACTCTAACAGGTATATAAATGTGCCAAAGAACCAAAAAAACTTAGGATCACTGTGGTCATCTTTCTCCTCAGAATGTCATATGTACCCTGACATCAATCAGGGACATAAAATTGCTCCCATGATCTAATAGGCCTCTATAATTAAAATAATTTCCTGGGCAAAACATGTCAGAGTAAGGAGCTGGGGCTGGTGGGCATAACCATCAGCATTTTCCATTAAATTTGTTATGATAATGATGACCACGGTTGTGTGGCTTACTAATTCTCCACTGTATTTCATGTGTCAATCATGAAGATGTAATGGTGTGGTGGGAACAGGGTTGATTCTCCTTTGTAGTTTACCACACCGAATAAGACAGGAGAGCCATGGGTTGACCCTAGTGCTTTATCTGCACCAATCTATGTTGTAGGAAAAATGGCAAATTCTGAACTCCAGATAGATATAAAAAAAACACAATTTAGTGTAGTTGTGTATTCCACACTTATAATTGTGTTGCTGCTTCTTTACTGTACAATTTGGAGGCTTTGGAAAAGGAGGTGATACCACTGTATTCCTCAGCTTTAGGGAGCAAATGGTCATCACCCTCTTAGCTGTGCGAATCACAAACGTGGCTGGACAGAATCTCAAAATCGTTTGCCAAAAAATAATTCACACTTGTATTCCATCTGTATATTATGGTGCATGGAGTTCAGATTTAACACTGCACAGGAATCCTGAGCTCTCAGCATACATGGAGAAGACCAAGGAATTGTCAAATACAGACACATTTCATGTTACTCCTTAAAAGTGACACTAAACTCAGGAGTTAAAATGCTTTCAAGTACCATAACTATGAACAAAAACGTAGCTTATTTGTTTATCACTCGGCTGTAGATCCTCCAATCACCTCTGAATTGGTGCTGACCCTGTCCTTCCTTCTGGAGGGTGGCTACTTTGGTTTCCTATGGTCCCTGTGTGTGTTGTAATGTAGCCACCACACCAAGCTCGCTCCCGTGATGGACTACAATCTCATAGCCACCTTCCAGAAGGGAGAAGTTTTAGCACCAATTCAGAGATGATTTGAGTATCAAACATCATACACAAATAAGATACATTTTTGTTAATAGTTAAGGTATTTGAATGCATATTTAAGATTTAACGCCTGAGTTTAGTGTCACTTTGAACCTTATTTTCTCCCTACATTTACAGTTACTGAAATTTCTGGCAGCAGATAAACAGGGCAAATATAGGCGCAGGAACATTTTAGACGATCTAAATGGTTCTACATTGACCCATTGATAAAGTCAATGATTTGCCTGTTGGCATTGCTATAAATACAGTTAATATGACTGCATCATGGATTTCCTATGAATAATGAAAAATTCAGATGCTAATGTCTTATATATTTCCAAAGTGCTCACAACATATGGGAAAACAGAGGAGTGAAATACATTTGAAAGGTGGAGTCTTTTTTTTATCTCCTAATTCTTTACTGCTGTCTGTAACTTTTGCAGGGTTACTGGTATAACAGCAAAACATTGATGAGAGCAGGACTTCCTCCATCTCCTCTATGGAGTGCATACTCCATGTATTCCTGGGAAGAATTTACTTGAAAAGGTGGTGATGCCATATAAATAGAAGGATAGGAGGTAGGAGAAGACATCTTCGCTGGGGCTATAAGGAGTAAAATCATGGTAGGAGATCAAACATCGCTTCACTCCACAAAAGACAAAATTTAAGGACAATTTTACTTTAACTGAAGAAATGTCAATAAGTTTTGTGCATCCAACTATATTAAAAAAAATAGTGGGAATACTTCTGCACTGTCAAAGAAGCACATAAAAACAACTGGTAATTCTATTTACAAGGCAGACATTCACAACAGAGCTTATTTTTTGCTAAAAAATCTACGCAGTTGTCAAAGCCAAAGTGACCAGAAAACACTTAAAAACAGATGAATAGCTGAAAGTAGGAACTATTTTTATATTCATGCCAAACATATATAGTAAAATAAATAGTTCAAGCAAAATCTGGTTTGTGTTATTTCTGTCCACGTCAAGCTGTACAAAAAGTAATCTAAATTTGGATGCAATGCACTGACAGGTCAAAGTAATAAATAACTTCTGAAAGGAACATAACATTTTTGATATGGCAGTCAATGAGCTGACATCATTTCAAAATGAAATATAAATGGACATAGATTTGGGAACACGTGTCAGGCAAGCAGCTTCTCAACAGGAAATACTTAGTCATTCAATGATGAACCTTCAGAAGTAAAGTAAAACTGGGCAACTCAAATTCGGTACCTAACAAAAAAATCCATATAAGCAAAGGTTATCTTCAGCAAAAAATCACGGCAGAAGCACAAGATTTAGCAGTTTAAAGCAAATCTGTGCTTCGCCCATGCTTCCTTCAGTGTGAGTCCCTCCAGTAGTTTATACTAACCTTTTCTTTTGCTCTCCCGCCACTTAATTTCCACAGTGCGTAAAAATAATAAATATCCGGTACTTCCATGTATTGGGAGTGACTCATCTTCCTACATGTGATAGTGTTGGGTCTGGTGGATAAGTTGCTTAAGCACCTAAAGTTTTAATATGGGGGTTGTGGAGAGTCCTTTCCAAGGTCCAGTTCACCCCTCAGCTTTTTCTCCTTGCTCCTTGAAGCCCTTAGAGGCAGCTGGGGAGCCAAGGGAAGATAAGTTGGTGCAACTGCTGAAGCCGGTATTAATGTGAGCTTGTTGCTTTGCCTGCATGGACAAAGCACAATTTCGATTTAAATTATGCAAAATTCCACCTTAACCTGTAAGTGTCTAGGTCAGGTTTACCCCTCCCATCTCCAGAGCCCCCCTGTTGGCCATAGAGGCCATCAATCAGCACTGAATTGAGGGGTCTAGTTCAACTAGAAAAGTCCAAATTTCTACATATTTTCAGCTGCTTTTATTTATGGATCTTTTGATTCGTTTGACGTGCAGTTGAAAAGGCAAAACAATTAAGTTGACTTTTAGATGGGGAAGGGGGACTGCAGTAATGTAAACTGCATTTTTTGAGGGAAGCCCCTCTAAGTTTAGATAATGGAAAATTATTTATTTTTTGTTGAGGCTTTGGATGCATATAAGCATGGGGGGAAAAACAGCCCACGGTAGATTGCTATTATGGAAAACAATCAAAGCTTACTAAGTAAACCCCAGACAGAGACACAACTGATTGCGCATAACCACACAGTGCCCTCACTGTCCCTAAACAATCATCACTCTGGTCACCTTTCACATACAGTGATCAAATATGTTTAATTTAAACATAGTGGAGCCATGTCTGTGAAGGTTCTCATTTATCCAGGTCATGGTATAACTAGCAGCAGTTTAGTCACATTCAACTGGACTTGTTCTGTAACAAGAAGTGTTATAAGATGTTAAAACTACATTACAAAGCCCTCCACCCCTGTTCAAAGATGGTTGTTCCAATTTGATGTAGATGGCCTCTTGCCTGGTTCCCAAGAGGGGGGAACTTACAGGACACCATCTGTTCTCCACATATAATGCTTTTAACATCTCCACCCCAGGGTTTTGACAATAATGCACACCTCTAGCCATGTCATTTGAAGTTTTAACACCTATACATACTTCCTAGTTACATGGGATCATGTAACTAGAATAGGGTGGTTCCACACCTTTCACACCTCCCATCCTGTACTTAGACAATCAACATCTTGCCTTTTCATGGTGATTGGATTAAGGCCTCTGCACTTCATGTGTGGATATAAATGCAGGTTTTTTTTCCTGACACTCATCAAAATTAAAGTAGTGGCTTGAATTACCTAAAAGGTTCAATATTACATAAGTCCAGCCAAAAACTTACTACTAGCTATAGCAGAGCTCTAATTTCACGTTGTTAGCAGCAAGACTTCCGAACCATCATTTTTAGCTCTGTTCTGCTTCTCTTGAAACGCTTTTTCTCTGGTACAAAACTGATGTTCTTACTCTTATTGAAGTTTCTGTATCAGAAGAAAATAAAAAATCCAAAATCCAATCTCTGTGTAGAATTGGCAAGGCAGGTGTTTATTCCTGGGATCCCACCCACAGACACCCTATCAGTTCAGTCTAAAACAAACTAGCAGGTAAACCAGAATCTACTGAAAGTAGAAATATATAATATTTGGTAGGACTGACCCTTTAAATCATCAACAATTGTAAAGATACAAAATGATATGCCTCACTGCACATAGGAAGGCATGTGTACAATGCACACGTGCCTGTGCCTACAGGCTGCTCTTACATTTATGGTAAACCTCACCTCTAACGCACAGTGGGTCAGAGCACAATATAGATGATGCAGCACAGGTAAGAGTACACAGCATTCATCATGTCTAGGAGTACAGGCTGGTGCAAACGGTGCATGTAAAGATGGGTTTCTGTTGCTGACCAACTATTTGCATGATTTAGAGCTTGTATTGAAAGGGTCAGTCCATTAAAAGATTCAGTTTTTAGTAGATGCAGAAGAGTTGAACCACTCAACAGTTTTTTTAATCTGTCTTAGGACTTCCATATAGATATAAAAATGTTCTGAGTGATTTAAACCACCCGTGCACACACAAAACTCAAGAGATATTTTGGGTGCACTTGGCATTTACTCAATAATAAATGCCAATATTATATATTCCAATGTGGCTGCTTTGGAATGGGTTTGCGTATGTGTTCTATGCAATCTCTCTCTTATATATAGTACAAGGGTAAGTAGGGCTGAGAGTAGTGCTTGAACAACTCAATACACCAATCAGCATTTTTTCGACAGGCGATCAGGAGGCCAGAGAAGATGAGAACACGGTCAATCAGAAGGATTTAGCTAAAGTGATAGCCAGGTATGTGTAATTAAAACTGAGATGAAATTTACACATTAAGAATGCGTTTATGCATGCAATTATCTGTTACCAAATATAAAGAAT